TGCCCTCTTTTTTTGTTTGTTTTTTTTTGGTACCATGGATCGAACTTTGGCCCTTGTGCTTGAGAGGCAGGGAGCGGAACCACTGAGCTAAATCCCTGGCCCTTCTTTTGCTTTCTTGTAGGTGGACCAGTGTCATTTTCTTCAGATTCTTGATTTCCTTCTTCATGCAAAGAACTACTGTCTTCATCACTGTGTGATGAATCAGAACTACTGCTTTTATAATTAGGGGGCAGAGCAGGTCCTGCAACGGGGCTCGGCTCCCACTCCATTTCCTCTCCTGTCTCACAGTTCTTGAAGCCGGGCGGCAGCACCGGCCCTATCAGGTCTCTCGCAGACAATGGTCACGCATTCAAGTCTATCAGCGCAATGCAAGTCAACATTTTTAAAAACAGTCAACCAAAATTCAGGATTTCCTTTAGGATCTTTTTCTTCATGTTTTTCTCATCTTCAATCTTGACCTTTTCTTTGAGGCCCTTTGAAATTTCATCTTCTTCATCTGGTTTCCATTCACATTCTTCTTCTGTAGGTTCATCAATTGCATTAATGATCTCAAATCATTTATCAAGTGGAGGCTGATAGAGGACAGCATACCTCCTTTCAAGATCATGAACTTCCTCATAGAATTTGGCTTCTATCTATGTACATTTAACTTGCAGGTTTTTGAGGGCATTCATTCTTCTTTTAACTACTCTAGGCAAGCAGCAGCTAGTTCGGGGAGTCAGGCAAGGGAGTTACTCAGGATGGCCACTGGGAAGAGTAGGAGGTGGTGCCATGAGCAGATGGCACTGAAGAAGAAACACACCTCATGATTTTAAAATCAGAACTGAACTTGAAGCCTAATGATATGAGGTCCCTTTAGTCAGAATCTTCTCTCTGTGGGATTATGAACAACTGATTTAACTTCTTAGGGCCTCACTTTCTTCATCTTAATAATGAGACAATACCTATCTCAGTGTTACGTGAGGATTAAATGAATAATGTATCTGAAATGCCTGATTATGACGTGGTGAACAAATGTACATTTATTATGTAGTGCTGTGGATGGAACCCAGGGCCTTGTTCATGCTAGGCAAGTACTCTACCATTGTACACTTATTGTCGTATATCATGCTATCAGTGAGTGAACTTTTTTAATTTCGTTATTGATGGATTGGTTAGTTGTTTGATCACAGTACTGGGGATTGAATTCAGGGTCGTTTTTACTGAGCTACATTTCCAGCCTTTTTAAAAAATTTGTTTTTTATTAATACATATTGATCACATTCATATTAGGGAATTTGTACCTCTATATAATATGTCTTAATTCTTTTTTTCCCCATTCCTCCTCCCCTCCCCATTTACAAAAGCTTAGTTTCTATTTTTTTCTTTCCATTCTCCTTTTTTCCTTTTCCTTCCTTCCTGTCCCTCTCCCCTCTCTTGTTCCCCTTTCCATTTGAACATTTTCTTCCTTCTTCCCAGTATCTATCATCCATTTTGTGCTGATTTATGCTTTTGTTTCTCATACAGCAGAAACAAAAATGATATTTAAACATATGTGTCTGATTTATTTTGCTTGAAAGTGAGGTCTCAAGGTGCATCCATTTGCCTAAAAATGTCTCAAGTTTATCCTTTATGGCAGAGCGGTACTCCAATGTATATAAAAACCATGTTTTTCTTTATCCATTCATCCATTGACAGGCATTGAGGCCATTTCCAAGATTTAGCTGTTATAATCTATGGGGGGTTTTTTTGGTACCGGGGATCAAACTCAGATCCTTGCACTTGCACAGCAGGCGGTGAAACCACTGAGCTAAATCCCCGGCCCGATTTAGCTGTAAACATGGGTGTGCATATATCGTTGTGATATGATGCTTTAACTCTTTGGGAAACATAAGAAGAAGGGAAAATGTGGGTCAAATGGAACCTCTAGTTTTAGTTTTTGGAGGAAGATTTCCATATTGGTTGTACCATTTATACTCCCACCAATAGTGGAGAAGGCCCTTTTCCCCCACAGCCTAATGGAATAGAATAGAAAATGCAGAAACAACTCCAAGCACGCTCAGCTACCTTATCTTTGACAAAAGGGCCAGACACATTCACTGGAAGAAAGATAGCCTCTTTAATAAATGGTGCTAGGAAAACTGGCTTTCCACATGCTGAAGATTAAAATTAGACCCATATCTCTCACCATGCACTAAACTAAAGTCAAAATGAATCAAAGATCTAAATATTAAAACAGAAACAATCACCTGAAAGATAAAATAGGTAAAACTCTTGAAGACACAGGTATAGGCAAAGACTTCATGAACAAAACCCAAATTGTAAAGGAAATATAAAGAATCAACGACTGAGATCAAACTAAAAAAATCAGACCCCTCAAATTTAAAGATCCAACCCAAAAATGGGCATCTGAAATGAATAGACACTTCTCAGAGGGAAAAATACAAACAGCAAAGAAATGAAAAAATGCTCAACATCACCAGTCATTTGAGAAATGCAAATTAAAACAACACTGAGATTCCATTTCACTCCAGAAAGAATGGCTATCATCAAGAAATCAACCTTTTTAAATTTTTTACGTTGAGGATCTTATTAAGTTGCTAAGTTACCCGGGTTGGGCTCAAACTTGCACTCCGTCTGTCACAGCTTCCCAGTGTGCTGGGATAACAGTTGTGTGCTACCATGCCCAGTTTGTTTACTTTTGAAACAGGGTCTCACTATGTTCCTCAGACTGGCCTCAAGCTTCTGGGCTCCAAGTGATTCTTCTGTCTCGGTCTCCTGAGTAGCTGTGGCTATAGGCATGTGCCATCATGTCCAGGTTTTATTAACTAATATATCACTGACAACAAATATTGATCAAAAGCTTTGGGAAAGCGGGCCATGATGTAAGCCCATAATCCCAACACTCTAGGAGATTGAAACAGGAGTATTACAGGGGCTGGGAATATAGCTCAGTGCTCAATCCCCAATACTATAAAAAAAAGAAGAGAAAAGTTTAAAAACACTTTTAGGGACAAAACATCTGATTTTCCCTATCTTGGAGGCAGTGTTAATGTAATGTAAATATTAATCTTGATATGTGGTGATTCTAACATCTGTGCATCATCATTTCCACCTATAGCTAATAAGAGACATGGTTAACGTCTGTGAAACTCATTTGTCCAAACCCAACCCACCATCTCTTGCCAAATACCAAGCTTTAAGATGCAAAATTGAGCATGTTGAACAGAACACTGAAGAGTTTTTGAGGATTAGAAAAGAGATATTGCAGAATAATCACAGGTAAGTATAAAGGAGATATTTGGAGTCAGTTATGATGAAAAGCTCTATGAGATTCTATTAATGAGCTGATCAGGATAATTAACTAGAAAATTCAAACCTCAGCACTGTAACAAAACGGCTATAGTATAATGATGAATTACCTTGTTCTGTGTTTATAGCAGGGCCTGGATATTCTGTTCTTGCAAACACTCCCTACTATTCCACTCTGATTTTTTTTCCTGGTTTTTGAGACGGGATCTTTCTGTATAGTTCAGGCTGGCCTTAAACTGACTATGTACCCCAGGTTGGCCTCGAACTCCCAGCAGTCCCCCTGTCTCAGCCTCCCAAGTGCTGGGATCACAGGCACATGCCACCATGTCTGGCAATGGGTTACCTAATTCTTTTTTTTTTTTTTGGTACCAGGGATTCGTTTCCTTGTGCTTGCGCAACAGGCGGTGAAACCACTGAGCTAAATCTCCGGCCTGGGTTACCTAATCTTAATGAGGATTAAATTTAAGTTTTCAGGAGCTGGTGGCCTAACTCAGAGGAAGAGCACCTGCCTAGCACGGGAGAGGCCCTGGGCTCAATCCTCAGCACTGCCAAAAAGAAAAAAATTAAATCAAGAGATGTTTGAGTCTGTTTTGACAGGCTTATAGTGGAAAATTCATGTAAATTAAAATTTACACATGCAGCCCTGTGGATGTACCAGATTCTAACATGGCCACTCTGTGGTGCTGAAAAGCTGGAAAACATTTCAAGAAGTATGGCATTCTTAAATCTCAGTTCCATTTGCATCCTCACAACTGCACACTGATGTGCATTCTACAATAACAACATTTGCGATAGATCTGCTGCTCAGAAGCCTGCGTGGGTGTCAGAACTTGGGCCTGGGGTCAAGGTTCAGAAACTGCTGATTGATGTTCTAGAAGGAGGGGCTAGCTTTCCTCCACCAGTCCATTCATCCCCCACAGCGCTCTCTTCCCTAAAGCCTTTCTCCTGAGCATTTCCAGCATCTCACATTTCTTTGTCATGGGCCTGGTTTACCCTTCACATTTCCTTAGAACCAACAATGGTGTGATGTAGCCCCTGTAACAGCTTACAAGAGCCAGATTTAAAATTTGGAACCAGAGAAACTGTTCGGTATTTACACATGTGTGTCCTATTTATTTCACTTAAGAGTATGTCTTCAGTGTGCATTCATTTAGCTATCAATGACTCTAATTTCTCATTCTTTATGGCTGAGTAGTACTCCATTTTATTTTAAAAAACCACATTTTCTTTCTTTTTTTTTCTTGGTACCGGGGATTGAACTTGGGTCCTTGCGCTTGCGCAGCAGGGGGTGGAACCACTGAGCTAAATCCCCAGCCCCCCAAAACCACATTTTCTTTATCCAGTTGATGGTCACTTGGGATGTTTCCAAGCTTTAGCTGTTACA